ACAGAACTATTACCTTGTTATTGTCGTTATTTGGAAATAAAGTATGGTTTAAGGAGATGCATATGGATGCCAAGCTGACAAGGGGTAGACTTGTGGACTTAACCATAAGTGTCAATTTAACTGGATTAAGGAATGCCTGGAGATCTGGTAAAACATTGTTTTCAGTGTGCCTGGGTATTTCCAGAGATGAGTGTCTGAGTCTTAGTGGATTGGGTGGGGAAGATCTGCCTTCAATATTTCTAGTTTTTCAAAGGTCATCAAAGAAATGAAAATGCAAGCAAAAAATATAAAAGGCCGGGTGCGGTGGCTCACTCCTGTAATCCCAGCACTTTGGGAGGCCGAGGCCGACAGATCACTTGAGGTTAGGGGTTTGAGGCCAGCCTGGCCAACATGGTAAAACTCTATCTCTACTAAAAATACAAAAAGTAGCCAGGTGTGGGGCTGCATGCCTGTAATCCCAGCTTCTTGGAAGCCTGAGGCAGGAGAATCACTTGAACCTGGGAGGCAGAGGTTGCAGTGAGCTGACATTGGGCTACTACACTCCAGCCTGGACAATAGAGCAAGACTCCATCTCAAAAAAAAAAAAAAAGAAAAAGAAAAAGAAATCTCTCCTGCCAGATTATGCAGTTGTGTACTACTCCTGCCCCTTCACACATAACACCATGCTTGCCTTTTAAAAATATGCCCTTCATCAGAGAACAAAAAATATTCAAGTTCAGAGATCTTCTGAACCAAAGATGTTTGCTGGTTTTGAGATTCCTCCAGCATTACAAAAAATTAAGTGGTGACCTATTCTTGGTAAGGGAGTTGACTATTGAAGAAGACAGACTTTTTCTATTGAAAATATAACAGAAAAGCTAGCAGATGCTTCACTTTGGCTCATGGATGTGTTGACCGAAATTAAGGCTATTGAGGCAGTAATAATTTGATAAAAATTTATTGGAAACTGAATGTGAGTATGGACATGGGAAGACACCAACAAAGTTAGGCATGTTCCAAAGTCTGTTACAAGCTGGAATGCTTTTATAAGGAAGTTTAGGAGAAGGGAGAAGGACTTCTCATATTGGACTTGTCCTTTTTCTTTGGAGGGTACAATATAGAGGTTATCATCATTGGCTACAATACAGGTTTAAATGTTCTAGGTGCAAGACAATCAATACAACTTCATGATTCAGAAACAAATCAGTGTCCTTGTCAATGTCAGTAAGTTATGTATTAATCAGTATATCAGCAGTTTGAGGAACTCATGATAAGATTTAAGGGACTCACATGAATCACAAGACTTTCCCCAGGCAGGTAATTTGGAAGCCTGCCAAATGTGACCTGTAAGTTATCAAATGGCATATTCAAAACTGTCCTCACTGTTTTTTAATCAGCTAGGTACTATTCATGCCCCTATTGGATCTGAAAATTACAGAGCCTATCCATTCATTTATGTATTAATGACTGCAAAAAGTGAACCACTTTACAAATGTTTATTTGAAGATTTGGTGGAGTTTGCAAAAAAACAAACAAACAAACAAAAAGGATTCCAACTAAATCCTCAAACCATAATGACAGATTTGGAATTAGGTATGAGCAAGCCTTCTAAAAGTGACTTTCAAGGTGTTATCAATAAAGCGTGTGTTTTCCAATCAGCCCAATGCTTTCGGGAAAAAAAAAATCAGATAAGTGGATTGGTCGCATAATACAGCAATGACAAAAACTTGAGTTTAGAAATTTGTCTGCATTGGCATTCTTTCCAACTGTGAAATTCTAGGAGCTTTTAATAGCTTTCTCTGCATTTGCCTGGAGAAGCCAGTAAAATTACTGACTGGTTCGAAAATAATTATGTGCACAGTAGGACAGGAAAACACTTACACAACAGTTTTCCTGTTCCATCACCAATATCATTTCTGCCAAATTAGTGGTCTGTCTATAAGTGCATACAGAACAGATTCTGAGCACTCCAAACAACATAGAAGCATGGTACAGAAGATGGGAAAATTTAAAAGGCAATGTTCCTGTGAATGTATATTAAATCACAGAAGAATTTCAAAAAGAGCAGCACCATGTAGAAAATGAATGGGGGCAGATACATTACCATAGTTCACTGCAGCCTCGACCTGCCTGGGCTCAGGTGATCCTCCTATCTCAGTCTCCCAAGTAGCTGGGACTAGAGAGATCGCTTGAGCCGGGGAGGTCGAGACTGCAATGAGCTGTGATCATGCCATTGCCCTCCAGCATGGGTGACAGAGAGACCCTGTCTCAGAGAGAGAGAGACAGAGACAGAGAGACAGACAGAGACAAGTAAAAAGAAACTTCCTTTAAGTACAATTAATTGTGATCTTAATTACCTTTGACCTTTGTTCACTCCCACTTGTTTATTGTTATTGTTATTTCATTGTTATTGTTTGTTGTTATTCATTTATTTATTTTTTGAGACAGGATCTCACTCTGTTGCCCAGGTTCCAAGTCCTGGGCTCAAACAATCCTCCCATCTTGGTCTCCCAAACTGCTGGGATTACAGGCATGAGCCATCATGCCCGGCCTGGTCATATTTTTGATGGGTTGATTCTCTCCAGTCCATGTTCCAGTCCAGATGCATAATAATAATACAAGGATTGAAAACGAAAATTTTGAAACAGATCCATCTCACAACCTGCCTTTCTTTTCTAGTGGTACAAGCCCCATTGAGTGAAGTGCTCCTAATCTCTGCTGATTTTAAATGCTGTAGAAAGCATTGTTGTATTTAATTCCGTGCACTGAAGATTTCTTATAGTCCTAGAATACAGATCAATCTAGATGTATGGTCTCGATCAATCACAAGAGGATCAATAAGCCTTTTTTCTTATTCTACTTCCCTTTTTTGAAAGGGCCTTGATTTGCATTTGCTGCCTATAGACAGCAATTTGTCTGATTTTATTTTATTTTTTTAATATTCAGGGGACACATGCGCTTGTTTGTTAAATGAGCATACTGCATTCTGTGGGAAGTGGGCTTCTAGTGTACCTAATACCTACATAGCAAACATCGCATCCCACAGGGAATTTTTCATCCCTTGTCCCCCTCCCACCCTCCTCCCTTCCGGAGTCCCTGAGTGTCTATTATTTCCATCTTTATGACCATGCATACCCACTGTTTGGCTCCCACTTATAAGTGAGAACGTGCAATATTTGCTTTTCTGCTTTGGAGTTGGTTCACTGAGTATAATGGCCTCCAGCTCCATCCATGTTGCTGTAAAAAGCATAAAATCATTCTTATAGCTGCATCACTGGAGAATTTTAACTTTTTTATTGGTTGGTCTTCCTCTCTCTCTCTCTCTCTCTCTCTCTCTCTCTCTCTTACTCTCTCTCTCTCTCTTTCTTTCTTTTTGCATCTCAGATGACACAAACCAATGTTTGTTTTTTGAGACAGGGTCTCACTCTGTCACCCAAACTGCAGTGCAGTGGGAATGATCCTAGCTCACTACATCCTCAGACCTCCTGCCCCAGCCTCCCCAGCCTCCTGATGATATAGGAGTTAAGAAGAAATTATTTAGACTGATAGTAAGAAAGTCCTTGATAAGGTTTTCCTTTTAATGAAAAGCATCCCCAAATTATTTTATTTTCTAATAAAGAGCAGCCTATAAAATCGAGCTGCAGACATAGACAAGCAAGCTAGAAGCTTGCAGGGGTGAATGCCGGCAGCTGCGCCAATAGGAAAAGGCCACCTGGGACTAGGAATGTTCAAAATGCTGGCTCCATTTCCCTTTTTCCTTTCCAATCACTTGTGCAGTAGGGAGCAGATAATATGGCACTGCGAAGTGGAAAGTCTATTTGCATAAGAAGAAGATTAGGGTGGGTTAGCCAGCTTCCCAAAGCACTATGTAAATGTCACACCTGGTCCAACCAATCTGTGGGCCCTATGTAAATCAGACACCTCCTCTTCAAGCCTGTCTGTAAAATCCGGTGCATTCTGCCATGGGCAGAAAGTCCCATTTGGAAGCCCCTCTCTCGCAAGAGAGAGAGAGCTCTTCTCCTTTCTCTTTCTTCTGCCTATTAAACCTCTGCTCCTAAACCCACTTCTTGTGCTTATTGGGTTTTTCCTTGGTGAGACAACCAACCCCAGGTATTTACCCCAGACAACGACATGGCTTCACTTAGTTGGGCTGGGTGTGAAGCCTGGGCCACCCACCCTGCCCGGATTTTATTTTTTAAAGAAGTGGGCTCACCCTCCCCATGTTGTTGCTCAGGCTGGTCTCCTGGCCTATTTTATTTTACTTATTTATTATTTTTATTTTTTGGCTACTGCTAATAGCTGTTCTATGTAGGAGAAATCTGTCCTAACAAGGATAATCCTTGGAAATTTCCCATTCAAATCCAGCATTTGGTTGTCAAATGATCATCTCTTGTAAAAGGGAAAAGATTAAAAAATAAACACAAAGATAAAAATATTAAAAGAAAAAGAAGAAGAAGAAGAAAAGAATGGAACATATTCTACAAGGAGAGCCATGCCTAAAAGAAAAAAAAAGCAGCTATTCATCAAGCTGCAATACTGATAGATACCGGAGGCAGACAAATGCCTATGCAGATAAGAAAGAGTCCCTGGAGAATCTCTGCTCCACAAGTGTTTATGCCAGATAGTTTTTGTGCAGATAAGGGAACCTGCACAGGGTCTTTCCTGGGCATGCCCACAAAGGACCGGAAGCCCAAACGCACTGGCAGAATGGGGTGGAGCCACCCGGAATTCACGCCTAACACATGGGAGGAGCCTGACCTTTTCAACTCGCGTTGTGGTCTGGCATTCAGTTTGTGAGGTGGAAACCTGCGTGCACGACCCCTCTTTTTGTTCAAAGCTTTCCTTTCACTTAATAAATTCTGGCCTCCTCACCTTTCAACATGTCTGCATGCCTAATTTTTCCTGGTTGTGAGACAAGAACCTGGATTTAGCCGAACTAAGGAGCAAAAAAATCCTGCATCAACATTTCAAAATATATTAAGCACTGGGGCTCTCTCTACCCCCGACACCTCAGGGTTCCCCCTGCCTGCCAATGGCGGGCCTGGCGGCCCAATCCCAGTGGCTTCCCACGCTCTCCCGCGGGCCCCAGCTCCGGCCCCCTCTCTCCCTCCCTTCAGTTTAATTCCCCTTCCGGACGTTGCTATCATGTTGAAGCCTCAGCCGCCATAAGAGCTCTCCAAGCCCCAGCAGCCGCCCCCCATGCAGCAGGCCATGCCTCCTCTGCAGCTCCACCGGGGCCTCCTGCGGCCTCCTCCCCCTGCCTGGGGCCTTCGGCTGCCAGGAGCGGGCTCCGCTGGGAAGCCAAAAGCATCTTGGTAACGCAGCTGCCTCCGCAGCAGCAGCACCAGGAGAGGCCGGGGGCCGCTGCCACTGGCAGCGCCAGGGGACAAAGCACAGGAAAGGGACCCCCACAGTCACGTGTGTTTGAAGGCGTGTACAACAATTCCAGAATGCTGCATTTCCTTACAGCTGTTGTGGGCTCCACTTGTGATGTAAAGGTGAAAAATGACACCATCTATGAGGGTATCTTCAAGAGGCTGAGCTCAAATTTTGAACTAGCAGTGGATGTTGTACACCAGAAAGCATCTGAGCCAGCAGGTGGTCCTTGTCGGGAGGATATTGTAGACACCATGGTGTTTAAGCCAAGTGATGTCATGCTTGTTCACTTCTGAAATGCTGACTTCAGCTACGCTGCTAAAGACAAGTTCACCCATTCAGCCATCGCCATTAACTAGAAGGGAATGGGGAACACAAAGAGAAGGTGCTTCAGCGCTGGGAGGGGGGTGACAGCAACAGCGACAACTATGACCTTGAGTCCGACATGTCCAATGGATGGGACCCCAATGAAATGTTCAAGTTCAACGAGGAGAACTACGGTGTGAAGACCACCTGTGATAGCAGTCTTTTTTCTTATACAGTGCCCTTAGAAAAGGACAGCTCGGAAGAGTTTCAGCAGCGAGACCTGCGTTTGGCGCAGTTGGCATGAGAGATTGAATCAAGCCCTCAGTACCGCCTGTGGATCGCCATGGAGAGTGATGATGGGCCACTGGAGTGGAGAAGCACAGGGCGGCCCAATGGCAGTATTCAGGGCAGGAGAGCCCCAGGTTGGCATCCAGGAAGATAAAGTATATCATCCCTCTGCCTCAATGAGTCCAGGAAGGTCCCCAGGGAGGAGTTTGATGCAGCAGCTCTCCGTGTGGTCGGCCTGGCCTTAGCTCTTTGCCACCTCGTGGCCCTCACCATCTGGACAATAGCAACCCTGGCCCAGGTTCTGAGGCCCGTGGTATCAATGGAGGCCCTTCCTGCATGTCCCCAAAGGCACAGAGGCCTCTGAGAGGTGCCAAGACCCTGTCTTCACCCAATAATAGGCCTTCTGGAGAAACTTCTGTTCCTCCTCCTGCAGTGGGCCGGATATATCCCCTGAGTTCTCCCAAGTCTGCTGCCCCTGCCCCAATCTCAGCTTCCTGTCTTGAGCCTCCCATTGGCTTGGCAGTGCCAACATCTTCAGCCTCCATCCCTGTGACCTCATCAGTCTCAGATCCTGGAATGGGCTCCATTTCCTCAGTTTCTCCAAAGATCTCCCTGGCCCCCACAGATGTAAAAGAACTCTCTACCAAGGAAACTGAGAGAACCCTGGAGCCCCAGTAGCTGGCTCAGATAGCTGGGAAAGTCCCTGGTCTTCAGAATGAACAGAAACTATTCCAACTGGAAGAACTCAGAAAGTTTGGGGCCCAGTTTAAGCTTCAGCCCAATAGTTCCCCTGAGAACAGCCTGGATCCTTTTCCTCCCTGGATCTTAAAGGAGGAGGCCAAAGGAAAGGAGAAGGAGGCTGATGGTTTGTTGACTTCAGATCCCATGGGGTTCCCTCCAAGACAGAGTCCATATGGGATAAGGAAGACAGACCACCCCTGGCACCAGCAGGAGGCACTGAGGGTCCAGAACAGAGCCTCCCCCCCACCTTGCCCAAGCCAAACCAGCAGCCCCCCAGTTGGGCTCATCAAAGGAGAGGACAAGGATGAGGGCCCTATTGCTGAACAAGTAATCAATGTTGAACCCCAATACCAAGGAGTTCAGTCCCACAAAGTCTCTGCTGTTTGTGAATAAATCCACCAGTACCCCAACTTCTCCAGGGCCTCGGACTCATTCAACTCCCTCCATCCCAGTGCTGACAGCAGGCCAGAGTGGGCTATACAGCCCCCAGTACATCTCCTACATACCTCAGATCCACATGAGACCAGCTGTGCAGGCATCTCAGATGTATTCGTATCCTGGATTCAATTCAATGTCTGGGCAGCAGGGCAAGTACTGGAGAGCAAAATGCTCCCTGTGCCCATAGCTCTGGGACCAATACCAGCCAGCCTCAGCCCCACCTCGGTGGCTGCTGGCCTGCCTCTGGTGGCTGCCACGCCCTATTCTTCCTACATCTCCTACAACACTCAGCAGTTCCCAGGCCCACCTGCCATGATGCAGCCCATGACCCACTACGCCTCACAGCCGGTGTCTGCCCCTTTGCTTCAAAGCAATCCACGCATGCTGACGTCGGGCAGACATCCCCAGGTCATTGTGTCATCCTCCACCCTTCAGTACCCTTCTGCGGAGCAGCCCACCCCTCAAGCCCTTTATGTCACTGTTCATCAGGCCTACCCACACTATGCCACACAGCTTCATGCCCACCAGCTGCAGCCAGCTACCATGCCTACCTGGAACCAGACTGCAGCCCCCAGTCCTGTCCAGCATCAGGCAGGAGTGGCTCCACACCTGGGCAGTGGACACCCAACAGTAGAATCTGTACCACCCAGGGGCCCTGGCCGGCATGCTGCCCTCTCTGCCTCTGGGACCTTCTGCCCGGTCCCCTCAGAGCAGCTTCCCCCAGCCAGCCACTGTGTATGCCATCCACCACCAGCATCTGCCCCACGGCTTCACCAACATGGCCCATGTTCCCCAGGCTCATGTCCAAACTGGAATCACTGCAGCCCTGCCCCCTCACCCTGGGGCTCCCCATCCACCCCAGGTGATGCTGCTGCACCCACCCCAGAGTCATGGGAGGTCACCCCCAAAGTGCAGTGCCCCAGAGTGGGGTGCCTGCATTCTCAGCTTCCACACCCTCACCCTACCCCTACATCAGACACCCCCAAGCTCTCACTGACCCCGACTCCTGACTTACCAGAGTTCAATCTTACCCCTCCCAGCAGCTCCCCTTCCACCCCCTGGGGAACTGAAGACTTTCCTGGCCGAGACCCGAGACCTCCATGAGTGGAGGGAAGAGTGATCTATGCCTCTTCCCCCAGCAGTTCAGACCACTCCCAGTTCCCCATCCCCCCTTTCCCCAGGGGAGCTGGGGAATTCCTGCCAAGCACCTTGAATGGGAGGGGCCTCACAGAGGGCAGCGCCAGGGTCCAGCAGGGGTGGGGGGTTCCTGCTCTATCCCTGCCTGTCCCCACCCAGTATTGCCCTCGCATCCTCTCATCTATTCCCCTGCTGGACACAGAAGATCTTTTATTTTCTGTTGTTTGTAACCTCAGACTTAGGTCCCCTGTTCTTTATTTTCCATTAACTTGAGTGGCCTGTGTGAGAGACAGATGGATGCCCCAGGAGGATGGCCGGACAAGAACTTTTACTTTTTATTACATAAAAATATAGATTAAAAAATAATTTTTTTTTTTTTTTTTTTTTTGAGACGGAGTCTCGCTCTGCCGCCCAGGCTGGAGTGCGGTGGCCGGATCTCAGCTCACTGCAAGCTCCGCCTCCCGGGTTCCCGCCATTCTCCTGCCTCAGCCTCCCGAGTAGCTGGGACTACAGGCGCCGCCACCACGCCCGGCTAGTTTTTTGTATTTTTTAGTAGAGACGGGGTTTCTCCGTGTTAGCCAGGATGGATAAATAAATATTTAAATAATTGTGAAAGTCAGCCAACTCTTATGGCCTACTTCGTCCCAATAGCTTATAACCTATTCCCATAATATACTTTTTCATATGTACAATTGTCTTTTTAGTTTTTTATTCACAATTTTAAATTGTGAGCATTACTTTTTATAATTTGCTAATTTATACCTCTATTTCCAATATGGGAATCATGTCAAGACTTAGAGTTATAATTTGTTTTATACATTTTTCACAAATCTGACTTCACAAAAGTATGTTATTGCAACACTGTTTTGTGTTTAAGCATTGTGTGTGTGTGCATGAAAACACTGAAACTTCCTCAATAAGTGAAGAGATGTTCTTTTTGTATGTCTGCATTTGCGATATACATTTTACTTTTTGACCTATTTCTTTATGAATATGGTTTGTCTACTCATAACTGTTATACCTGTGCAACTGTCATTAGTATAACTGAGTGCTTATACTTGCAAAAATGTATGTGATTATTGCCTATTTTATTGTATTTAGTAGCCTATAAAATGTTCTGTAGATATAATGTTTCTCAAACAAATCTGTTTTAAAAAATATAAACAAATGTCTTTTAATTTTTTTAAATTATTTTTTCTAGAATTACATTTTTGGGACTATGTCTTTTGTCTTTTGGATTATGGCCCAAGCCCAAGCAAGAGAATGCTTCAAATCTTTCTATCACCTAATCTTGGAAGCCAAAAACAACCACTTTTGTCATGATACCAGCAACTCACCTACGTGAATGGGCAAATCTTTGCGTTTTTTTTATTCTAGCTGCAACCTTCTTCCAGGGACCATATCTGAATTTTTAGACTCTGGCCGTGCACAGAATGATAAGTGCCCACAGGTGAATGAAGGCTGTAGATTCTCAATGTCAATTCATTATTCCTTCTAGGCTTTCATCTCTTGCCTGTTTTGATTCCAGTCCACTTCTACAGTGTGTCTGTGTTTCCCAAGCACCTTCAGCTAGAGGGAGATGTCACTCTGCCCTTTGTAAGCTTTTTATCTAGCTCCTTAGGGAAAACTGTAATGAATTTGAGTTATGTTCAATGTCCACTTTTGTCACTCAGTACTAGGCAACTGCTAAAAGCATTTGGATTTTTTTTTCCCTAAGGAGCAAGTTTCTGGCTATACCAAACCCAGGTCGTTAGCCAGAACTGGCAAATATCTCCAGAGAGGAGAGTCAAAAATAGTACACTAGATAAGTTACTTGTGTTATATAGTCTTACAATGAAATACTATACAGCAGTAAGAATGATAGAATCATTACTTCTAGCAACAACATGGATGAAGCTTACAACGTCAAGTGAAAAAACCCAGACACAAAATATTCATCTTCTATGATTCCATTTATATGCCTTTTGAAATCAGACATGGTTAAATTATTGTCTAGAAATCAGGACAGTGATTACTTTGGAAGGGTGAGTAGTGACTGGTACAGGAAGGAGGGAGCTTTCAGAGTCCTAATAGTGTTCTATTTCTTGATCTAGCATGCCAGTTACATAAACTTGTTCAATTTTTAAAAATTCATTGATTTGGACACTTAAGAATTTTATACATTTCTGTATACATTTATACTTAAACAATTTTACATTAAAAAACCTAAAATGTAAGAATTATTTTTCATTATTGGTGTTTCTGTTTACATTTAAATATCTCAAATAATATCATAGTAGTATGTAATACGCTAAGTCACGGGGAAGTTTAATATACAACTGAAAACCACTACGATTTCTAGAAATACCAGGGCTCATCTCAGTGTAACTGTGAGCATTTGAGCCGGTTCTGTGCCTTCCTCTTCGAGGTATCTTTCCTCTCGTGTTGGAACTGTGTTCCAGTTCATAGAGGTCAAAGTCATCACTGATCTCTTCATGGACCTCACAAAAACAGCATCTTCTGGGTCATTGAACACAGTTCTGCAAAAAAAGCAATTATGTCAGAAAAAAAGCAATCAAAAATGAAAATTTGACCAAAATCAAATTTTTATTCAAATGCATTAATGCCATGTTTTTCTGTGTTATTTGTGTTATTAGTTGTGTACCACTAACAAATAATTTGCAGGCTCCACTGACAAATGACTTTCAGGCTAAGTGACACTATTTATATTGTATATATTGTTTACTTTATAAATGAAGTATCTGAACATATTTGGGGATCAATTAGTACAGTTAAGGTCTCACATACTCATACAGTCATGTTTTAAAACCATGTTAAATGAGATGATTAAAATATTTATAGATATATGCATATTATTATCTTAAGTTCACTGTATTCCTAAGTTTTTTCTACATTATGCCATATTTTATAAATGTATGTGGAGATAATTTTCCATACTGTATCCAAAAAAAAAAAAAACATCTTAAGTGAAAAAATAAAAAGGAATGACGACTCTAAATTCATCAGTATTCATGAAATTGAAAAGTCTTCTATGGACTTTTAGTGAGGTGCTTGCTTTTGGAAATGTAAATTCTAGTGAATATAAAATATAAGTCTACATGATAACTGCTATGACCGAACATATTTAGAGAATAGCTAAACAAGGAATGTACAGCCCCACTTTCAGAATAGCTAATAGTTAAGGTTTAGTTTTTATTATTTTATTTTTTGAAACAGTCTCACTCTGTCACCCAGGCTGGAGTGCAGTGGCGTGATCTAGGCTCACTGCAACTTCCGCCTCCTGGGTTCAAGCGATTCTCCTGCCTCAGTCTCCCGTAGCTGGGATTATAGGCGCCCGTCACCACGCCCGGCCAATATTTTGTATTTTTAGTAGAGGCAGGTTTTCACCATGTTGGCCAGGCTGGTCTCGAACTCCTGAACTGAGGTGATCTGCCCATCTCATCCTCCCAAAGTACACAGATTACAGGCATGAGCCACTGCGCCTGGCCGAGGTTTATTTTTCTAAGCATCAAATTATCTTTTTACTTATTTGGGATTTTGATAGTAATATTAAAAGCCCAAGTATGTCAGATATGAATACAGAGCTTGAACTCATTCATCACAAAAAGACCTACCAATTTTTCTCATCTATTGAAGAGTGAGTCATTTTTTAACTCATTAAAATCTATTTTAGGAAATGGAGATGATTTAAAGGGACAACACAATTACACAATTATGAAATAATCTGATAATAAATGTATAGATAAAATTACTTACTTGTCTACATTATTTGCAAATCCAAAATCTAAAAAAAATACATTTTAAAGTTAGTATTTTAAAATATTTATCCAGCATTTGAAAACAACAGAACGATGCTATAAAGGAAAAGTATAAAACAGGGCTTTCTGTTTTCAAGTTATCCTTTACACAAATAGTTCAATCTGTCAAAAATCCCTTTTTATCTAACTCCAAAGCAAAACTTTCTCTTAGATATACTGGGTTTTGCCTTAGGTTTTGAGGCAATTTTTTTAGTACAATATAAATTTCAAAACCCTGAGAATGGAAAGCTTAGTCAATTTATAATGTACCAATGGAATCTAAGTGGAAATTTTTGTATTTAATATACTGAGGCTGATATAAGATACTGAAACCTATCCCTTTTCTTCTGAAAGGCACATGCGTCTATAAACGGACTAACAGTCCAAATGAGGAGAAATAGTTAGGAACATTTCAACTATTTGGATTCTTGGCATTAACTGTAAAGAAACAGAATAAACAAATACTAGATCACAAGAATCTAGATCTTCCTAGCTTTGAAGCTCCAAGACTAGTCCTCAAAACCTGGATTTCTTATGGTGTCTTCCAGAGATGGTCACTGCTTTGTTGATTTCCCTCCAGAAAGCCTAGTGCCCGTCCAGAGATGGATTTTACCAGCACCTGTTGTGCCAGTAAAGCCCACAGTATCAGCTCTTGCCACTCCACAAGCAGCAGCGACCACACAGCCTCTCTGCCTTAGAATTCATAGCATTGTTCTCTTCATAAGTGGCTGACAAAAGTCTCTTGTGCATTTTGGATCATCCTAGGCTATCTTTTCCTACATTTTCCTCCCAGCTTTATTGAGGTATAATTGACAAATAAAAACTGCATATATTTAAGGTGTACAACTTGATGTTTTAATATACGTATTCATTGTGAATAATCAACACAATCTAAATAACATATTCATCAGCCAGACCTCTGCCATTTTTTGTGTGTATTGGTGAGAACACTTAAGATCTACCCTCTTAGTAAATTTCAAGTATACAATACAGCTAACTATCGTCACATTACGTAAGGTCTTCAGAATTTATTCATTTGTGTAATATAATTTAAACTTTGTACATTTTAAATAACATCTCCCCATCTCCCCTTCCCCACAGCACCTGGCAACCACCATTTTACTCTCTGCTTCTATGAGTTTGACTATTATAATTCCATATATAAGTGAGATCATGCAGTATTTGTTCTGTGTCTGTCTTATTTCATTTGGTATAATGCTCTCCAGTGTCATCCATATTGTCAAAAAATGACAGGACTGCCCTGTTCTCTTCTACATTTTTAATTACAAAAAGCACATACTTTACTTATAATGAGTATAAACAATAAAGAAAATAGTGAGCAAAAAGGGAAATTTCCCTTTAACCTTTCCACTTCCTCTTACTACTATTAAGTATCACTATTAAAAATTTTGTGTGTATGTTTCCAGCCTGTATGTCACATATGTACTCACATGTCTACATGTACATATACATAGAGATTTGTTTGTTGACAAAATTCCAGTTTTGTTATTACTCAT